ATCAAACGATTTAGAGGAGAAGAGGGAGCGGTAAATGTACTGGAAAGAATGAAGGGGGATGCAGGACTGAGAGAGGAGAGCGAAGTAAGCGTTGGCCGGATCGTCGATGATGGCGGTGGCGAGTAACCGGCGCGTGGCCGAAATGAGAGTCGGGGAAGCGCGGAAAGTGCGCTTAGCGGAAGGGATGAAACGATCACGAAGAAGCCTATCTGGGCGCGTGAGATTCACAGACGGGTCAGCGTGAACGTACACGTTGTAAAGAGATTTGGATTGCTTGTGGAAGAACCGCTGCCAGAGGGGAGAGAAATGGAGGTCGGTGTTGGTGAGGAAGAGGAAAGCGATCTTCGACTTTCCCTTGCCGGAGATGGTGGTTGTGGAAAGACGAGAGACGGAGGAGGCAACGGCTCGCCGGAAAAGGGCTTGGTCTTGAAGCTCGTCGCGAAGAGGGATGGGAGGCTCAGAGGGATGCCGAGGAGAGAATATGCCAGGGGCTACCAGGAAGAAGAGGATTGGAAGGGAAAGAAGGAGGGAGAAAGAGAGAACGGAAGGGGTGGACAACATTGAGGGTTGAAAGGAGGGTTTGGGAGGATTTGCACGGATTTGAACCAATTTAGCGACCTGCAATTTTCCTCCTGATACCCTTAGATTTGTATAAAAGCTAGTGGGAATTTTTTTTTTTTTTGTTTTCCTCTTCGATTTGGAAGAAGAAAATGGAGGTGGGAATTGTCAAAATTTTCCTTTTTTCTTCAGGTGTTCATAACGAAACCAGAAGAAAATTTCAGGTTTTTGGTTAAGGGTTAGGGTTTGGAGAAGCAAAATTAGTCTTGTCTGGTTTTTTTTTGGGGTTTCTCTCTCCTCATTGCAGTGAAGAGTGAGAGGGAGAGAGAAAGAAGAAGATGGGGATAGGGGTGGAGGGAGATTGGAGAACTGATAGAGACGGGGGAAGATGAACTTGGATTTGTAAATCTAAACTTTTACCTGCCGTTACTTTTGACTGTGAAACTTTTACTTCACAATTAACGGAGGTTACGGATGACGGCGTTTATGTGTTGTTCATTACGGTTTAATTCGGAGGTTACGAGTTATTTCAGTGCACTTTCTTTTTGACAGAGGTTGTCGATAAGAGCGTGTTTGTTATTCTTACGGTTTTGTTTAGCGGCGAGTAATTACCGTTACGTCTGTTCTAACGGTGAGG